ATATCTTATAGCATTTTACACTAACTCGCAAAATTTCTTGTGTTAATAATGTATTAATAATTGTTTTTCGATCTGGTAGATTATAATTTAGCCGAAGTTGCTTGAGCAATTTAATGATAAATGGATGTTCAATTAGATGCCATGGCAAGCTACAATATACAAAAGCTTTAATAAGAGCTGTATCAATAATATCTTTTCATTCTTTACTTAATTCTGAATTTTCATAAAATTTGACTAAAGTTGTTTGTTCATTCTCAACTTGACTTTTTTTACATTTAGGATTGGTAGCATTAAGGGAAGATATTTCGCATGTTTCTACCATATATATGACGGCTTCACGAATTGAATGGTCCACTTTTGAACAATTAATTATATGTTTTTCCATTATTCCGGTCTTTCTAGGTTAAAAAGTTTGGTCACACGCTAAACATGTTGCAACATAATGTCCTTTATCTAATTCATCCCTTGTTCAAAAAATCTCCAAATAGGTTTTTTGAGCATCCACCAGAATTGGTTATGGGTCAAGTTTCAATTCATATATACTGAAACCTGAAACTTTCAGAAATGCTCTCGGAGGTTTCGATACCCATGTTTACTGAAGAATCTAATCAAATAATATTATATCAATCACAAGAAAATGAATTGTCACATAAATGTAAACGAAAAGCTAAGTGAATTCTTAATTTAGAAGAAGAAGCTCTTTTAGAACCTTTAATTTTAAGCCAAAATGAGCCAACAAATGAAGAAATGAAGAAAATGTTAAATAACTTGTCAGATGAATGGAATTTAAGCAGCATATTTAATATCAAAGGAAAAAAAGAATAGCAATAATTATTAGCAGTACTATTTAAGAATTCTACAAAGCATGTAAAGAATAAATTAAAATATACATATAGAATAAGCAATTTGTTTATTATTATATATAAAAATAAAATATTACTTATCTCAAAATTGTCATATGAGAGGTTTCTAAAAAAAACAAAATCAAAGATAACAAGTTATTTTGCAAATAATTAAGTATAAAGTTTTTCGTTAAAAACTAACTTAGTAAAGAATCCCTTAAATTTATATCAAAATATACCGTCCTTTATAAATCTTGCAGAAGTTAGACTAAGGTTTTTATAAATAAAATAATTATTATATTAAGTAAAATAGATGTTTGTGTACCTACTTTATTATTTATAATTGGTCAGAAAAAATGTAACTTTAAACCATTTGCAATATACTTAAGTTATATAATTTATAGTAACATAAAAAATCTAATTAGAATCAGCAAGCTTATATGATATGCACATCGACTGCTATTATTCTTTTTTAAGCACTAAATTATGCATATAACTTTTATTAATTCATTATTAAGATATATGGGGTTACATGTCAATTTCTTTTTATATTTTTTTTCTATTCTATTTATATAAAAATTAATGTAAATCATTTCTGTAAATCCTGATCTCATTCTTATAGATTTCTAATCCTATTCTTGTAATTTCTAATTTCTATTTCAATTTTTAATCCCTATTCTAATTTTTAATCCTGTAATTCCTAACTTTTCCATCTAATATTTCTATAATTTTTCTTAAGTTCCTTTATTCAGTATTTGATTTATCCTTTTTCTTTTAATAGGTAATTTATCCTTTTTTTTCAATAAGTAATTTATCCTTTTTTCTTTGGTAAGTAATTTATCCTTTTCCTTTAGTAAGTAATTTATTTTTTTTCTTTCAACTAATAGTTTAACCATATTCTATATCTTAGTTTTTCAATTAAATAATCTTTTATTTAGCTAAATATTTTCTTAATTTTCTTGTAATGTCACATAATATTAGTTTTATGAATTTTTTAACTCTATCCCTTCAAGTGTTTTGCAGGCAAATTTACCTGCAATTTTATTTAATAATTAAAATTATTTATAATAATTTTAAATATTTT